TAGTTCTGATTGTGTCATGTCCCTATTTAAACACTTAACAGTGGTTCCCCTAGCCTAGTAAGAAAGTCTTATCTCAGACTCTTAGAATCTGGTCCCCAACCTTCCATCACCGCCACCTTACCCTTTTCACACTCTACCTTCTATTCAGGCTTATTCAGTATTCTTGGAACCTGCTCCAGGCTTTCCCAGTTCTTTGACCTTCTTTAAACTGTTCCTTCATACTATTATGAAGAAGAGAGCCATCATGTTTTAAACACCCAAATTAGGACCAGCTGGCAAAAGAAATGGCCCTTAAACCAAGAATTTTCTCTTGAATAGTGTTATCTAGTCTAGTAATGAAGGAATAGAGAGCTTCCCAACATTGGACATCCTTGAACAGAGGCTGAGTGCTGGCTGGTTTGGCTGATGTGAAAGCAGGGGCTACTTGCACTAGGGGCTGTAGGGGCTAGACAAAAAGAGAAAGCATGGTCCTCTGCTGTTAAATCTACATGTGAGGCACCAACCACACTTTATCGCCCCTCAGTAGCCCTCATGATACACACACACACACACCCATGATCAAGTCATTCCTTCACTTAAAATCTTTTAATAACTTCTTTCCATCACTCTTAGGATAGTCAAGAGAAAATGAAGAGGCAAAATCAACAGTGAGGCAACAACAATGAAGTTAGAAACAAAGCGGTGGATTGAGGAAGCAATTAGGAACAAGTATCAGCAAAACTTGAGGAAACACCGGTTGTGTGCAGGGGAAAGGGGGTTTTGTTTACAGTAACAGGGAGGTCATCAAGTAGGGGGAGGCAGAGTGGTCAAGTAGATATTTCCAGAGTGTCTATAGAGCATCATATAGGTGGTAGGACAAGTCCTTTGAACCAACAACTCCACCCACAGGAGGCTGACATTTTCTGTGATTATGCAGAGGGAACATCTGAGGTTCCTCTTTGACTTTGTCTATTCCAGATTACAGTCTTGCCTTTACTTTTGCAAAACCAAAAGGTTTATTGAAGTGTTTTTTTCCCCAAACAAAAGATCAATCTGTCCTCAAAGGTAAATTCTGCCTCCACTTCTTCAGAAATGGAAAAGCTGCTGGAAGCTTTAGAATAGCAATTTGTCCTCAGCCTCCAGTCATAAAGGTTTCAGAAGGTTGGGGTTCAGTTTGGTAGTGCCAATCAAATGTTTTTGTGTGCATATAATTTGACCCTGCAGTTTCACTTCGGGAAATCTATTCTATAGAAATGCTCATACAAATATACAGTGCAACATTGGTGGTAATATTAAAAATTATGAACAATTTAAATGTACATCAGTTGGGATATGACTGAATAAATTATGGTCTATCCATAGTATGAAATACTATGCAGCTATTAAAAAGAATGAGATATATCTCTGTGTACTGACATGGCTGGGTTTCCATGACCTATTAGAGGATGAAAAAAGTAGATTTATGTGACTCTGTGTGACTTGTGAGTGTATGTGTATGTTTATGGAAGTAAGTCTGGAAGGATACATGCTAGAAATATTAACTGGTTATCTTTGGGTAAGTGGGATGGGGGAAGTGATACAGGAATGTCTCAAGGAAAAAGGTAAAGATTTTTAAAAATCATGTGCTACTTTTATTTTTAAAAAAGTGTAAGTTCATCAGCTTTCTCTGCAGGCACGTTGGACAGAGGCCTCTAGCGCTTTCCTTTCCTTCAGGATTCGCAACTGTATTGGCAAATTTTTTTTTTTTTTTGAGAGTTTTCCAACCCTCTGGCCCTGCCTTCCTTTTGATACACGCTGCAGGATACTTACCTTACCTTTTCCCTGAACTAATAGAACAAACTCAATTTTGTAAGTGAAGACCAGCAGTTTCAAACCTTATTGGACATCAGAATCACCTTGATGCTTGGCAAAAATGCAGATTCCTGGGCCTGCTCAATAGATTTTGAGTCAGTGTGTCTAGGGTTGGATCCAAAATCCTGCTCTTTCAGTGGCACCCCAGGTGGTCAATGAGAAACCCTGTTTCAGGGAATGACGTCTGATCGTGCCCCCACCCCTCATTTCTCTCTCCATGATTAGCAAAAAGGGAACCAGGAGCAGTGACTCACCGTGGATATCTTTGTGGGTCACAAATGGTTGGGTTCATCTGAATGGGAAAAAATGAATAAAACATAGTTTAGGAGACTTGAGAGTTAAGTAATAAGTGTTGTTTCTTTAAAGTAGCCTATTTGAAGTGGGCCCTTTGGGTTAGAGGCTGGTCTGGTGGGCAGTGACTAGGCAGTGACCAGCCTAGGAGATGCCTTCCAGCGATGGCTTCCTTTGTTAAAAGTGGAAGGGGAGGAGGGTCCGTGAGGTCTTAGACTTCAGATGCTTTTTAAGTGAAGCTTCTGTCCTTGGAAAATGATGCTTCTAGTATTAAGATGAGGTACTATCTTAAGACTATTCTAAATGGTTTTTGTTAGATTTATTATTTTTCTTTGTTATAAACAAAGTCTGTTAGTCAGATGCCCACTGTGGGTTATTAACATCACAAAAGAGTGTTTAAAAACCATATACCCCAGTTACTCCCAACAGTTAACCTTGGGAATAAAAGGAAATGGTAACACTTCTTAACTACCTTCCCAAGCCCTCAGTGAAGCTGGCAGCCATCAGTTAAATAAACCATTAGGTTTATTAGTTTGAGAACAGAAGCATCAACTTGGGCACAGTTTTCTAATTTGCTCGTCATTTACCCAACAGTCATTTATTCAGAGGCTACCCTGTACCTAGTGGACATTGGATAATTCTACAGATAAAAGCCAGAGACTGATGAGCAGCTGGAACTCTGAGGGGATCATCTGAATGGGAGAAAATGAATAAAACACAATAGTCTTGAAACCTTAGCACATAGAAGACAGAACGTGGATTCCTTAAAGCAACAGCCTTGTTCTCTTTCTGTAGTCTATTTTAAGTGGGCCCTCTGGCCCGGCATTATCAACCTTGGATTAGGAGCTTTGAGGAAATAGTGGTTTGGTGGTTGTTTTTTAAAGGATTTTTTAAGAAACGTAGTTACTAAGCAACTGTCGTGACCTGCTGCTAAGTTGGAGTTCAGCGGGCAAGTCAATTCCAAAGAAGGGAATATATAAACAAGTTGCGAGAGGGGGGAAATGGCTTAGGGATAGATTTGGTATATATTTTTTCTGGGTTCAATGCGTATTTCTGCCTTCTACTTTATCTTCCCCAAGAAAGGGCTGCCTGGTCAGAAATCTCTTTGTCTCACCAACTTCTCCTCCTAGCCCGTGAGTGAGGAGGAGGACCAGAAAGAATCCCACGAGAGGGCCCAGGTGGAGGGCTGAGCCCTGGAGTAGGGCCAGTTCCCTGGGCAGGAGGAAAGGTAGACAGCCCTGCTGCTGCACTCTCGGGCAGTCCAGGGCTTCTATGACAGACTGGTCACCACCCTCTACATTTCGATCGCAACGCCTCATTGATATTGATGTGTTGCCTTGTAACCCTCAGAACGGGGACACTGTCCAGCTGCTGTCTTTTTCCCCCAACACTTAATGGGTGAGTCAGTGACTTAACTGCTTCCTGCAGGATTTCAGGGACGGGAGTGGGTAATGAGGACAAATCACCCTAACACCAGTGCGTGATGAATCAAAGAACACATGAATTTAACCAGTTGGCTTCATTGGTACCAGAGTGAACAAAAATAAACTTTGTTGAGGATATTTGTGTGAGTTAAAACTCCATTCCCTCCCCTTAAGGCTTTTTAGTATTTCCCTTTATACCCAGTTGAAGGTCAGATTGCTTTGCTGAGGGAAGGGGAGTGTCAGGTGTTGGAACAGGTGTTTTGTTTTCTGCCTGTAGAGTCATACAGACTAGATGGGGATGCTTCTTGCCAGCCCTCTATGGTGCATGAAAATGCTTTTGTGGAATTCTTTTTCCCTGGAAACATGTTTGTTTTTTAAAGCAATTCCACAACCTTCAACCCCTACTATAAATTTTGTCTTCCTTTGAAATCTTGTCATAATGAGGTATGCCTATCTTCTCCCATTTCCACAGCCTGTGCTTTACATATATCCCATTTTATGCCGCAGTTACAGACCTTAAAAATTGTTTGTGGGGGGGAGAATAAATGTGAATATCATATCTTAAATGTACTAGGAGAATGTCACAGCAAAGCATCCGTATTCAAAAAAAAATCCTTTTATAATAATTGTACAGCTAGAATTAATTTTCCTCTATCAGGTTTTCTCAAGTTGGGTGTAAACGTGTAGTCACCGTTCCAGAGTGATAAGGCTGTTTCAAGGCTGTTTCAAGGCTGTTGTGATGGTGGTAGTGGGGTATAAAGCTGGGCATATGGACTTATAACCCCATGGACTAGATGATTTTGGAGAAAGGTGACAGCAGACTTCTCGGTTTGGGAGAATTTCTGTTTGTTAAAAGGGAAATAACTCGGGAGAGGTTTGTGATCTTCTCATCTGATTGTGAGGTCGGTTTGTTTTTACCTTTGTGTACTGTCTCCCCCTCCAAAAAAAGAAAACGTCATCTAGAAACAAATCATCTTCCTTGCCTAACAATGATATAATGGCCTCAGGTCCTTTCCAGCCCCTCCACCCTGTGTCTCAGGGCCATCTGTTCTCTGCAATCCACTTTTTTGGGAAAGTCTCCTTTCCCATCTGCTCTCCTTGGGCCTTAGTGCCTGCTCTAAAGATTTATGAAGGCTGCACTGGAACCTCTTTCCAGTTGTTTTTTTGTTTTGTTTTGTTTTTAAGGATCAGTGAGATTTCAAGGCAGATAAAAGCTTTTGCCATTCGATATGTCCAAATGTTACTCCTTTTTCAGGTGTGTTTCTTCCTTCTCTTGGTGAGTGGAAAGACGTCTGTCTGTCTGTGCTTGGAGGAGGGACTCTGCTTATCACAGCAAAGGTTGACTGTGCTGGTGCCGGCTGCTTTGAAGCCCAGCGTCCTCCTGGCTCTTTAGCCACTGGCCCAGAGGCTTGGTGCAGCTCCTTGGGTTCATTCTTTTCCTTGTCTCCCTGACAGAGTACAGTCGCTTTGAATCGAAGATACACGACTTGCGAGAACAAATGATGAACAGCAGCATGAGCTCTGGGTCTGGGTCCCTCCGAACAAGTGAGAAGAGGTCTTTGTATGTCAGGTAAGTCACACTTCTGAGCACCAGGCCTTGTGCTGCGTGAGGAGAGCTCTGTGCGGACACAGCCCTTCCTGTTTAACTAGTGGGATTGGGAGCGTGTGTTCCCAGTACTAAAGCAGCACTCTGCACTGTATGCTCAGGCTGTGTACTTTATGGTCAGGGTCTCTCCCTTCTGTGAGCTGGCTTCTTCCTCTTTGCTCATGAATGACTCAGTACGGGAACATTTCAGTTTGCTCTAATTGTAAAAGACTGCTGGGTGATTGTTGCTAGTCAGCATTCAAACAGCACTCAAATGTTCAGAGTACTTTGCTTGCAATCTGTGATTTGAGGGGAAAACTTGGCATCCCCCTCTTCCACATATGCATAGTAGACATCAGCCTTTGTATCTGAGCATATCAGCTATCACTGTGTTCTGGTACAGGGTCTCTTGTAAGAGACCAAAGAACTGACAGGTTGCTGCTTCTGGGTCTTTTTTTAAAAACGGTGTTTTCTTCCTCCCTGCTGCGCTGGTCTGCTGTATCTGAATCATGGAACATGGGATGGGATGGTGTATGGTCCCCAGGAAGGGTGGGTGGAGGGAATGGATATATAGCATTGACTGTCTTGCTGCTGAAAGCTATTCTGAGGTACTGAGCAAGGTTAAGCTTTTGACCCTGGAGGCACATTATAATACTTTGGCAGGTCAAAGTACAAACCTCTTGGGGAGTTGGACTGCTAAGTGAACACTGTGGCCTCCTTGTAGAAGTGGGGATGGTTGTCTTCCTGCCGTAGCTTCTTGGCAAAACCAAACAGTGTGGTGCAAGTACATTGTATCTTTCCAAGGTTAAAATCCTTAGAGTAAGAGGTGGTGGGGTAACTCTCCTGAGCCAGAGATAGCGCTGTGTGTGTGTGTGTGTGTGTGTGTTTAATGCTTAGGTGTGGGGCTGTGTTAAACTCTTGGGTTGAACTTTCTCTAGTAGCCTCTGATACCTGCTGCGGGGTTAGGAGAGAAGGCTACATTTGCTACTTGCCTGGCAGTGGGACAACTGCTCTGTCTTTGCGGTTTGACTTGAGGATAACAAGTAGCTATAAATGCTAATTGCAGTTCGGTTCCAGTGCTTGATTTCCTTTTCCCTCAGCTGGTAGTCCCTAGCCTGCCTGCAGGGAGCAGAGCCCAGGGAGCAGCCCAGCTTTAAGTCTGAAGCCCACTAGAAACCTTCGTGATTCTTTTTTAAAAAATGAACCCTCAACTTGACTCCTTGTGTGTTGAGAGCAGCTTTCTTCACTTTTGCTGTGCTCACCTCCTGCTGTGAAGGGAGGAGAGCTAGGGGAAGGCTGGACTAGTCACTGGGGATCTTTTCAGTCTCCTGTTTTCCGTCACTAAGCCCTTGCTCTGGGTCTGTAGCCTAGCCACCGGGTCGCTGATGGGGGAAGCAGAAATGTGCTGTTGCCCCCAGCAAAAGGGTAATACTAATGGGACTTGGTCAGGATTGTTCCGTTCCCGTGCTGCCAGCCCCCGCAGATGTGGCACTCCAGTGTGCGTGGGAAGCTGCTCTTTAGGCAAGACAGTTCCTTCGGAGAGATTTATTTTTAGATTTCCTCTCTCCACCTATCCTGTGCTAGAGCTCTCCCTGCCTGGGTAGGGGAAGTGGGGCATTAGCTCCTGACCTAGAAGACCCAAAAGACCTGGAACACCCTCTTCTCTGGCCCTGGGGAAAGGGATACATTGCGTCTGACTCTGGGGAAGGGGGTGGACACTGCACTCTGTTTCTAGTGAATCAGTTTATATGGTTTATGTAATCTGCCCTTAACCTTATCTAGATAACATCGGTGCCCTCTGCTTTATAATAATGAACATTTGTGATCACTAGACTTAGACTTAGTCAAGGAAAGTGTTTTATAGGGCTAAAGCAGTGAGCTGAGGTCTTCGCTAAGCTAACCCCTCTACCAGAGCCTGGCTTGCTCTGTTCCTTTTTGTGCCTGTTTGGCATTCTTTCATTCTGCACTTCGTTCCTTTTCGTTAGCATGTGAACAAATTCAAGTTTCTTCCATTCTTGAAGAGAAAAAAAATTCCCTTGATACCAATAGTCCCTTAAACTGTTGTCTCTCTTCTCTTTGCCACATGTGCCAAATTATGTGCCAGGAAACACTGGTTCCCCGAGATGTTAATAGGTATTGTGTGCAAAATCAGTGGTTCAGTAAGTTGGGCAAATGCAGTATAAACACAGGAAAGTTCTTTACTGTGGTTCATATCCAGGAAGGACTGTACTAGGCAGAGTTTCACCAAAAGATAGGAGCCTGGGAGCCTTATTTGGAGAAGCCCCTCTTAAATCCAGGTTAGGAAGTGTTGGAGTCATCTGTACTTGCTCCTGTTATGTCTTCAAATCACCTCTCTTTCAGTAGGAAAGGAAGTGTGCATCTGCTTTTCAGCATGGTGGTGTGGTTCCAAGCAACTCCGGAAGGCTCCGGAGAGGAGCAGAAGCCCAACTCTGTCAGGGATCCACGGTGACCTCTTAGTCATCAAATCCAATGACTGGTTCACTGATTCTCTGCCATTGGTCTGACCTCTTCACCACATTTGTTCCCACGAATTCCCTGCTTGCTTCTTTAAAGGCTCTCTTCCTACCTTGCTAACCATTCCTCGATATCTTTCATTAGCTCTGCCCCCTAAATGGCAGTGTCATTTATTTTCACAGATTCTGATCCTGTTGTATAAATGACACCCCTGATGTCTTTAGTGAACCCCAGACCTGCATATCAACTATTTGCTGGATGTGTGCATGAAGCTGCGCTCCCAGTGCCTCAAACAAGCGGTGTGTTCAAAACTGAACCCCCCCACACACCTGCTGCTCCTCAATTTCCTTATCTAAGTTAATTGCATCGCCCTATCATGTGGAAAAGGGATTAGATTTGTTCTGTCACCCAACGCAGATCTCAGCTCCACAGAAGGAAGAAAGAGCTGATGATTAAGACTGTCTGAAAATGGAATGGACTGCTTCCAGAGATAGTAAATTTGATCTTTTGTTACTGGAGGTGTTTCAGAAGAGGCTGGGCACCCATTTGCCTGGTTGTTGCAAGAGGGGCTTGAAGCTAAAGCAACAATCTGGACATAATCTAATCAGAAGTTTTCAGTAGTTCTGAGATGTCTTCAGGATAAAGGGAAGCAAACCGTCAGGGAACATCTATGCATTAGGGCCTTTGTGAGCCTCTTTAAATTGTGATTGAAATCCTTTAAATAATGCTGCAAAGTAGACCTTATTCTCATTTTACAGATGAGAAAACAGAGACTCCGGTTAGACTGCCAAGAAGTTTCAAAACTGGAATTTCAACCCGGTTGTTCTGACCATGGAGCGTGGTTCTTTAAACATTTCCCAAACTTGTGGATAGGAATCAGCTGGCATGCTAGGAAAAATACAGATCCCCAGGCTCCTCTTTTATTGCTTTGGATTCACTGGGTTTGGGGAAATGTATTTTTTTTTTTTAACAAGCAATCAGAAGGCTCAGGAATAACCAGTTGTTTGTCACAATGGCTATTTCTGTTTCGCTCGAACAACCGAACATGACGCTTACGGTAGGTCCTACTGTGTGGAAAGCAGGGAAGCACAGGGCTGAGAATTGGGGCATGGTTGTGGAGGTGGATTCAAGGAAGCAGCAGATGCCGGGCCTGCCCTCCAGCAGCTTGCCCTCTACATAGAAGACACTGGGCAGCAGGTGGTTAAAGCGAAGGAACCCTTTTCAGTTGGGGTTTCACCTCTGATTCTTTTAGCTGTTGTTTCCCCTCTGATATGTTTCTTCTCCCTCGCCTTCTCCTGAGTGTCTTTTATTCTCTGGTGTGCATGGGTTGCCAAGCAAATAACACTCTCTTGCAGCGCCACCGAGGCTAGAGCAGGTGAAGCCCTAGGTAGCTGCGACTCTACTAACGAGAGGGGGGCGGTGGGGTCTGTGGAAAGAAGGAAAGATTACAGTGTTTGGAAAATATGACTTGGTTTTAAGATCACTAGTGACTTAATGGAAAGGCCTTCCCCAGCCGTCACCACACTAGCCTCATCTCTTCAGTGGTATAGGTAGGATGAGTGGAGCCTGTCTTTCTGCCCACTCTAGGGCATTGGTCTACTAGTGAACTTGCCTTCCACGCTGGAAAAGTCCACAGAAGTATGTCTCTGTTGAGCCTCTTGCCCAGGATCAGGGTGGTTGGGGTGTTTAATTCAGGTCATTCTGATGTGAAGGGAGTACGAAAAGACACAGGGTAGGTGAGAGTTCCAGGGACCCTCCAAGTTCTAAACTTGGATGTTCTTTTGTCTATTTCCTCAATGAATGAATGAATGAACGAAAGACCTTGTCCTCCAAAAGCTGCCAAGAGGCTTGAGAGTATATTTGTAGAAAGAGCTTTTGCAAGTCTCTTCTTGCAAATCACCAGGCTGGGTGCATTCTTCACAGCCACAGAACTACATCAGGCAGGTCTCTGGGGAGTCCTGGCCTCCCAGCTGGCCATCTACCATCCCAGTCTTATTCCCACCTCAGGAAGGAAATCATGTTGGGGCATCTGTAGTCTCCATTCCCAAAACCGTGTCAGAAATACTGGCTTGATCATCAAAGAACGCCACAGAAGGCTCCTTCTCGTCACCAAGCAGACATTAATTGTGCAGCTGTCCTGTGCTTATAGCCCAGGGTGGTGCTTAGGAGAGCCTTTGTCTTGTTCATTAATGAGTTTCAGTAGTTGATTAAAATGCCAGTCAGGTGATTCTGGCAGGCTTCACTATCTGACAGAATTGGGGGGTGATAGTAATATACATCTTAACAAGCAATAGCAATTTCTGTGGTGTTCTGGGCTACCAGAGGGTGGGTGGGGCAGAGTTTCCTGTGTCAGTGATTCTTGAACTGCCTGTTGCTAGAGCATATTCCCCAAACAGCAGTCCTGGACCTGTGCTCATAACCCCCTCAGCTGACCCAACAGGTGTTGTGACCCCAAATGTTCATATATTGCAGGGCAATTGGTCCTTCCCTGCCTGTCTAACGTCATAACT